CCCCCCTCTCTCTCTCTCTCTCCCTCCTCCCACCTACGTTTCCCCTCCCTCCCCATTCCATGTGTGCCTCAAAGGTTTTTACCGAGATGAATATTCTATACCTAGTGTAATACTTTAAAGACAAAAGTGGTCCCTAGAAGATGGGGCACATCGGGCACAAGGGAAACTTTTCCCAGCAGTGATGGGTTGGGAAGAGCTGTTACCAGCTCATCGAGCTCGATAACCACGCAAACATGAGACGGTGCTACGGGCTGTCTTTTCTCTTTGCTTTCGGTTTTCTTTTCTTTTTTTCCCAAAAAACACCCAAACCCCTTCTTTTCTGGGGGGTGTCAGTCCGGTTGCTTATCACCGGCAAGCATGAGTACAAAGGGAAAGAGCCAAAAATAACAGAGTTAAAAAAGAGTCAGCCCCGCCCTTGCAGTACGAGTCACCTACTCAAGAGGGGGGCTGCTACGATCTGAACCCCCCCCCCTCCACCCAGCAACCATTGCTTTCCCTAGGAGGCTTCTGCTTTCGGCTTTCTCCTTTCATGCCTTTTATTTTCGCCATTTTGTGTTGTTCCTTGTGTGTTGCAACACGTGACGAGCTCGAATTGTGCTTGAACAGGAGTAGGGTGAATCTGTGATAGTCGGGGTCGTCCTTTTCCTTTTTTCTTGGATGCTTTCACTTGCCATCCCGCAAGCTGTATTTGATTACAGGGAGCAGTGATGCACACGTAACTGCATGTGCCCGGTGAATTGGTGAATCGGTGAATCGGTGATAGTCAGTTGAATGCTTTCACGATCTGTGGCCGAGGAGTGCGCATGCAACTGTTAGTGAGCAGGTCATGAGCTTGAATTGTGATGGGAATCATCATCGAATCATGGGATCAGTTATAGAGCGGTTGGCGAAACCAGTCATAATGTCGTCAGCTTTCAACCAGGGCTTTACCGCCGCGGCTGCTAGCACGGAGTTAGCTGGGGGGCTGGGGCTGGTCGTAATTAGCAATTTAGCACAGAGTCAATCAATGCAAAAGCACAAAGACTTGAAAAACAAACAAACAGTAGGCCGAAAAGAAATCCATGGAATCCGACGTCTGAGAATACTCCTCTATTTAGGCTATTTCTGCACAGTATTTCATTAAAAAAAAACTTCTAAAAAAGAGAAAAAATGCAAGTACACACATTAGGTT